GCCCCACACAGTGCTGGTGGCTTTACTTTCAGGGTTTGAGTTCACTCCAAATGCACAGCTTTTTATGTACATTATTTATCGTGTTCCTAACTCATCTCCTAGTATTCCTCTGGAAGCAGGAAGTTTTGGTTTTGACAGGAAATACAGTTATAGTTGTGCTCATTTCTTTACCTGTAAGCCCTACTGCTTCACAGACTGGAATCTGAGTTTATAATCTTTTATATATCTACACCTACTACTTAGGGATGTTTTTTTTGTTGTTGTTTTTTTTTTTTTTATTCTGCTGGAACAACAGCGGATGTAAAGGTTTCAAAGCAAGTACAAAGGTGACACACAAAAAATGACAGTGATTCTGTGAAATGCAAAATAGAAGAGAGGACTATATGGATGACGACCCGTTGGTGTGACAGCTCCACTTTGAAAAACTTGCAGGTTTTTTAGTGGGATTCATTTTACTCTTTTTATGTCAGGATAACTTCACTTAGTATCTTTTATGTTCATCGGATCTGCCTCTGCAGCCCTTATTCTCCCAGCAGCACATATTTCCAGTGAGCAGGATACAGAAGCACCCCTTAGGATGGACAAACCAAAGCACAGGTTGTAACCCCGGGGCCTGGCTAAGCCACGCTCCAGGCAGGAGTGGCAGGGCCGCAGTTTGTCCGTGACGTGTGTGTCACAGCTGTGTCTCTGTGTGCAGCACAGTTACACCTACCTGTGATCCTCGGGGAGCTGTGACTTGCGCTGGTGTAAGATGGATGTCATTCAGGCGTGGGGGACAGTGGCGATGGCAGGAATGCCCTGCAGCTGCTGGGTGTCTGGGAGCAGTGTGTCCTCCTCCTTGCCCGACAGTGACCCGGTGTGTAAACCCAGCGGTTCCCCAGCGAGCAGCTGATGTTGTGTTCAGTGCTAGATCTACACAGAAGCCAAACAAAAGTGCCTCCTTGCGTTTTACCCTTCTGCTGTCAACAAATACTGTACAGACACGTTGAGGTACAGCTGAGACTGGTGGCCAGGTGTTGAATTCCAAAACAGCTCAACTTTTGAATGCCTTCAGGGAGAAAACTTGACTGAGCAGAAAAGAGGGAAGGCAGAAAAGAGGTAATTTCCCTGACAAAGCATTAGCTGCCAGAGATAAGCTTCTGAGATATTTGACTATTTATTTTATTGAGATATTTATGTCTAATTAATAAAAAATTGACCCTTAACCAATTCTGCTTGTAACTAATGACACTGGTTGACACCCCTTCACAATTCCAAAACCTCAAAATCAGTCTTTTTTTTATGAGCAGTATCTTTCTTACTAAAGATAGTGGGAGAATATTTTGACAGAGAAATACCCACGCAAGAAGAAAATATTACCCTGTTGCAGGTTTCCTGTCACTCTTACCTATCACACAGCTTTAGGCTAACCAGAAGTGTACAATGTTGGATGCCTTCTCAGATCCTGCTCTAGTTCAGTTCTTTAAATGTCATTTTTTTACTGCATGCCAGCGAGCTCCCTTCCTTAGCCAAATGTCATCTGTGTCCCACAATGTAAAGTGTAATTGCATATTTAAAAAGTGGGAAGTGAAGAGTAGCTCCCTTGCTTTCTGCTCTATGGGACTAGTACTTGAAATTCCTCACATTCTTCTCCTGTTAACAGTATGTTTACTTTTCATCACTGTGTTATTAGGATTAACAAAAGTCATTGCTTCAAGCTCATTTAATTTGAATTTAGTGAAAGCAAACTACCTCCTGCAGCCTGTAGGAAGCATTCCTCTGCCATAGAAATGTATTAATTTGCAAAAAGCAGCCACCAAAAAACGTGAGACCTGATGACCATTTTCACCCCAATGTTCAACATCACTATGCATGCACTGCATTCTAATGAAGTACCTTATGTTGCAAATTCCAGGACAGTTTGAATAATCTAACAGTCTAATTAACATTTCAGTCTATGAAAGATTTGCATTCAATGCCAAAGAAGCTCTTTCTATGTATACTTTCTAAAGCATGGGGTTGCAGACTGCAGACATCCCTTCAAAACATCCTTTATCTGAAGAATTAGACTTGGCTATTTAGTCCATTTCTGCATCTGCAGTAGTACTTGCTTTAACTTTCAGAGAATCCAAACTTTTCAGAATTCAATCTTCACAGAAACCTCTTGAATAGGCTGTATTTAAGCCTGTTGCCTACCGGAATGCTCTACTAAGAGTAGTTAGGTAAATATTTCTTTATTAAATGATTAATTCCATAAATAAATTCTTTTAATTCATTGAATATAAAATTAAAATCATTTACAACTTATTCCAGTATTACAGGGGCTGGAAGGGGTAAAAAAACCTCAGAGGAAACAAACAAACAAAAAGCTACAGTTCGATAAATAAAATACTCAGCTTTAAAACAACTGATTTCTGTTTGCCATTAAACTACAGTTGGTACATAATAGCTGCCACTGTGAACACCCCACAGGTGCCCACCTCAGGAAGGAATGTAACTTCCAACTTAGTTGGGAAAGGGTGGGAGAAGACTGAAGGAAGGGGAAGAAGCATAGTGTTAAATTGAACAGGATAGAAAAGTTTTCATAACCGGAACAAAACATTAATCTGATCACTTACAAACAGAAAACAGTATATAATTAGATAAGGTGCTCCAAAAAGAAGCAGTAAAGTTGCTCCAGTATTATGAAGCTTTAAGTATGCTTAAATCTCTGTTGCATTAGTGTCCAGTTGCACAGTGCACTCCTGTAACATCTTGATGTTGCCCTCAAATGGGCAAGGCACCACTTCCATCAAAAGTTCTTTCTCCGTGGCTGGGTACTTCAAAATTCTGTTTTGCATCCCACCCCCAACACAAGTTAGTCCCTAAATTTATGAATGTCGTTGACTAGTCTGTAGTAGGGGTAGGCTTCATTGGCATGCGGACAGTTGTAGTTGCATCGGCAGGACTGGATCATCATGACACTCTTGGTGAAGGTTTCCCCGTCATCGCAGCGGAACCTGACCTTGACAGTCCTGGTCTGCTGGGGTGTGCAGCACCTGCCATCCACGCAGGAGCCACAGTACTTGGGCCGGTACTTCTTCACACTGGAACATCCAGCATAAGTGAACTTCACCGGGGAGGGAGACTTCCTTGTCTTGGTACATTTCTTTCCCTTCTGCAAAGGAAAGGCAATAACATTATTAGCAGGAGATCCTTTTCCAGCCTTTACCCCCTACCTGAAGCAGCTTAGAGAGAAGAGGAACACCAGAAGAGTCTGTATTTACCTTCAGGGAGGCATAGCTGGGTTGGCCACATGGCCTCACTTCACATATCCTGGTCTCCTTGATGAGCTTGCAGTCAGGATTGTCATTTGTCACCCTTGTGGAGATGCCAGTTCCACACGTCTTTGAGCACTGGGACCAAGAGGTTGTTTGCACAATGCATTTGGGATTCTCAAAAGTTTGGCTTTGTGGCTCGGATCCAAAAACTGGAAGAGAAAAGGAGGGGTTAGTCTAAATATATTCTCTCACTAGGTTTCTTTCTTTCCCTTGGGGTCCAAGGTCTAGCCACCCTCCTCCCCTTAACTGTCAGCCAGATAAACCCACACTCACCGGGTAGCATTTTCAGGCCTCCCTTCACAATGGCAATTAGCTCATTGTTCCTGGTTAATTCGCCTTCGGAATCATCCGGACCAAACTCTTCACTGAAAAAGCTTTCCAGCTCCTCCAGCGCATCCTTGCTTTCGTCACAGACCCACTCCTCGCAGCACTGCCCGGGCACTTTGACCAGCCGGGGGCTGGAGCAGCCCAGGTTGGGAAGAGAGAGTTCCTGCGGGCAGAGCGGGATGCAGCCCACAGCTCCATCTATGCACGTACACTGGTGTTTACAGTTCGGCTGGAAGCTCTCGCCGTTCTGGTAGATTTTGGAGTTATATTCACATGGTCTTCCCTCGGACTGTGCTGCAGAGATCAACGAGAAGGGAAAGAAGGGGGTGAGCGGCGGGAATCGCTGGTTTAAGCACAGGTATTTGCTGGTCTGTTAAACTCAATGTACGGCGGAGCTCCCTACAACCCCCCGGGGACGCGGGGCCAGAACAATAACTTAGTCAGGAATCACTTTTCCTTATGTGCGTTTAGCGGAGCCCAGACATACTGAATCGCATTCCAGACTGCTGAAGTCATGTGCCTTTCTGCCAAGCTACCGACAACAAAGCATAACCATACATGGGCTCGAAATTACCGAACCCCGGCACCGCGGGGCGCGGGGTCCGTCCCGGGGGAGCGGGGTCGCCGCTTACCTCTGCAGATGCCCTTCAGGGCGGCGGGGCTGGCCCCGAAGTTGCACTCCAGCCCCTTGGTGTGGTCGCAGGGCTGCGATCGGCTGCAGTCCTCGTTCAGTTGCTTGGCGCAGACCTTGCAGCAGCCGCAGCCGTCCGGCACCAGCCCCACGCCCGGGGCGCACTGCGGCGTGGCCGCCGGGCACTGGCACACGGCCGGGCAGGGCGAGCCCAGAGCCTGCGGAGCGGAGCGGAGCGTCCGGTGAGCGCCGGGAGCCGAGCGGAGCCACCCGACCCGCCTCCTCTCCCTCCCTCTCTCCCGGAGCGCGGGGAGACCCGCGGCACTTACCAGGCGGGCCAGGCAGAGGAGAGCGGCCGCCAGAGCGGGCCGGGTGCCCGCGGAGCCCATGTCCAGCGCCGGTGCAGCGGGAGCCCCTGGGAGCGCGGAGCGGGAGCGCGGCCGGCGCGGTCTGAGGCGGCGGCGGGCGCCACCGCCTTATATAGGGCGCGGGGCCGCCGCGTGCGCCGCGGCGCTGACGTCGCGCGTTCCGGGCCGCGGCCGCGTCCAGCGCTCGCGGCATCCCAGGAATGCGGCTGGCGCGCGCCCGGCCGCCCCGCCCCGCCCGGCCCCGGCCCCGGGCCCGGCGCTGCCGCGGGGGTCCCGCCCCGCCGCGCCGCGCGGGGGGCGCGAGGCCGCTCCCCGGCACGCGCGGTCCGCGCCCGTTCCCGCGCGGGGAGCGGGGGGGGGGCACCGGCAGGGGCCGTGAGCGCCGGGGCCGTGCCGGTGGCGCCCCGCGACCGGCCACCTGCGCGGGGGAGCTCCCCGCGCCGCCGTGAGCGCCCGCCGCTGTGACACGGCCCCCAGGGTCGCCCCGCCGTGCCGCGGTTCGCTCCGTGCTGCTGCTGCCGTGCGAGCGAGCATCCAGGCGATTCCCGGCGCCGCGGAGCCCGGGAGCCGGGAGATGCCCGGCGGCACCGACGGGCCCGGCTGCGGGCCTGGAGCGGATGCCCGCGCAGCGAACAGCCCCCCTCAGCCTGTGTATCCCCGGGTTCTCTGCCCCCCACGCAAGTTGGGCGCCCTTGAGTTGTATTGCCTTGTTGAAGTTTAATATTTGGGGATAGGGAAGAGAGTTTCGGCTTCTATTGTGGCGTCTTTTCTTTTCCTGGCTGTAAGTACTTCCAGATGGGATTTAGACCCCAGACGTAACAATATTTCCATATTTGGTATAGCAGTAGCCCGCATTTTTCACATTTTTCTGCTCTGTTATCCAACCACAAAGCATTCTTGACAGCTTCAGATGTTGTTAAATATAGCCTTAACTTCTGTTCCCAGGGCAGGAAATTCTTTGGAATTCCTGTTTTTCACGCAATCTGTCTATCATGATTTAGGAGAACTCTGCTGGAGGAGCCAACTGGCGTTCTGCTGCAGCTCGCTTCTTTATTGAAATAGCCCAGCAGTTGGGTCTGCTGCCCAAAGGCGTTACAATGAGTCCCCATTCCAGGGATTTTTCTTTGCAAATTAGATTACTGTTCCCAACACAAGTTCGGGGTTTTTCTTGTCGCCTTCAAGGCTGGAAGGTAGAGAAGCTTATTCAAAAAAGAGGCAAAAGCTTGCAAAAACCCCTCCAAAGGCCATGAAAAGTGGAGGGGGAGAGGGCGAGTGGGACAGCGGGCGGGGGAATGCGGAGAGGAGGGATGTGATTAACCTGGCTGCGGCATTCCCGTACAGCGGGACGGGCAGCCGGGGAGGGGAGGCACCGCAGCCCCGCCGCTCGGAGGAGCCGAGCGCGGTCGTCTCGTCGCCTGCCCGGTGCCACGGCCCAAAGGGTGACAGCAAGGACGGTGCGCAGGGCTCCGGTAAGTGCCGCTCCCGGGGCCGCGGGCCCGTGTGCTGCTCCCCGTGCATTCCCACACCAGCGGGAATGATGAGGCGCCTTGTGGGACCCTGCCGGGGCGGCGGGAGCGCTGCGGTGCTCGGCGCCAGCGCCGGGTGGTCTCGCCTCACCACCGCGCACCTGCCGCTGCCGTGAGGACAGCCCGGCTGTGTCCCGGCTGTGTCCCCAGCTCTGCCCCCGGCTCTGCCCCGGCCCCGCAGCGGCTCCGCGGGCGGCGCGGGCCGGCCCGGGCTGGATGGGGGCTGGGGCGAGGCGGGGTGGGCGCTGTGCTTGGGGGGGATGCCGTGACCCCGGGGACGGGGCGGTGCCGTGGGTGTCCCGCAGGGGACAGGATGACGCTGCCTGCCCGGCTGCGCAGCCCGGCTCCTCCTGCTCCTCCTCCTCCTCCTCCTGCTCAGGGATGTCCCCGCGGCCCTGGCCGTGCCCGGCAGAGGGGCTGATGGCCTCAGCGCTGCGGACCCTCCTCCCGGCCGCGGCCAGGCCCCTGCCCGGGCCAGGCCTGACAGGGAGTTCCCGTTTTAGGGTTCTTCCCCTACTCCATGTCTTGTCTTCAAGGTTTTCTGGTACAGAATTTTTGAGTGACAGAGAGCATGATTTATGTCTGGAGTGAGACTTGAACTACCCAGTCAGACTAGGCCCTGATAAGCGGCCTTGATGGGGCCTCGAAGCCTTTGATGCAGTGAGAATTCAGTTGTGGCGCAGTCAGAAATTATGTTAAGGTAACTACAAAGTAATGAGCTATCCGAGTGTGAATTAGAGTAGAGCTGCAGTGTGAAAAGTCTGACCACCTTAAGGCAAAGGTAAACAATGTTAGTGTGCCAATCAGAGTGCCTTGTAAACTGTAAACTATGTAGAAGTTTATATAAACTACCATCTTATCTCGAATAAAGGGAGAACGTTTGATTAACCACATTGGTTCAGATCTGCGTTTGTCCTGTCCAGCTTCCCATTTTTCTGAGGATCCCTGGCTCTTGTTTTCTTTTCATTCAAGTAATTTGACTTGACGTTTTACTTTGAGGTGGTTTGGGGACTTGGGAAAGGTGTTAGGATGAAAGCTCCAGGAACACTTTGCCCAGAACTTGCGCTTCAGAAAGCGGCAGTGGTTTTGTTCATTACTTCTATGCCTCAAAATTTGGCCAGAAAAAACAACAGCTGAGAGGGAAAACCAGTCCTTACTGATAATGCAGCTCTCTGGAGACTGCCAAATGTACTATGCAGTGCCATTTCTGATGACAGAAATAATTTTGTGTGTCCATCAAGAATTGGAGAGAGACTTCCAGGAAGCTTTGATGGCTGCCAGTTATGGCAGTAATGACTCTCCATTATACTGATTTAGCTGAGCCCCAGCTTGTGACAAGGAGGAGCAGGGCTCTAGACTTCAAGCTGTCCACTATGCTGGTTTTCTCTTAGTTTTACAGGTGTATGAGTTTTTCTGTGGTACTTTAGTTTTAAAAATCCAAAGTGCTTTTTTAGATGGGGAATCTGACTGCTAGTTTTTTCCCAGGATAACTCTTTACACAGCAGCATTATAATGAGGAGGAAACTGCTTGTGATTCAACACCTTAATTAATGAAAATTTTCAAAAATTTAAAAATTTTTGAAAAAGAAGAAGCTAACACACTATTGTGTGTGTAAATTGGCCAGTTTTGCTTTTCAGGGATTTATGCAAACACTTGTTTGTTTAATTACATTTAATTTAAGGACATGCACTGAGCATTTTTCTTTCATCTATGACTTTCACAACATTCAGCAAATGCCACAGGAAAAGTCAATGAATAGTGCCTTTTCTCACTTGGTTTCATGTCTTACCACACATTCATATAACTTTAATGGGAAACTAACTGAACCTACATTTGCTCAAGAAAAGGTCACTTCAAAAGCTTCGAAGAACCTTCAAACAAACCTGTCCTGAATTTCAAGTAGTTGACAACACTTGAGATAGGTTGAGTTTGTTTGGAGTTCAGGTTAGACTGTGACCCTTTCCCTGCACACAATTCCTTGTCTCAAACCATGACCCAGCATTTGCACTCCAGGCTGTGCCTACATATCCTGGACGTACGTCAGGAACAGGAAGAAGTTTGGGGTATCTTCCTGTTTCAGATTTTGTTTGCCCCTGCTCCATGTCACAAAGAGCACTGGTTTCTCACTTTTCGTGCTGTAGGGAATCACTGGGACCTTGGCTGATGCAAAGCAGGAATTTGATGCTGTTGGCTGACATAGCAGCTATTACAGATTTACTGAGTATATCCTGTCATTTTCACAGGCCTGTGTCTCTCCAGAGAAAGGACTTTCCAGAGAAACAAATCAAGAAAAAATAACTGGCTTAATTTCCCTCCACCCAGCAACAGTTCTTCATAGCTGTACACAGGGACCATGGAGCAGCAAGAAAGGTTGTGTGGGACAGAGGCTCCTCGGGTGCTCCCACTGGCAGTAAGTATCCAGCCCCAAACTGGAGTACACCAGAAGTTTACAACCATGTGGACTCTGGAGAAAAATCTTACTAAATCCAGCATCCAGCCCTCTTCTGTATTGTGTTTAATTTCCTCTTTCTCTTTTGCCGATCCATTGATGTGTGTTTCTTCCAGCTCTCCTACCTTTTCTTCTCTTTTTTGCTGTTCCAGTCTTTTCACCACATCCTTCCCTCTTCTGCTATGTCCTGATTTTGGCTGGGATAATTTTCTTCCTAGTAGCTGGTACGTTGCTGTGATTTGAATTTAGGATGAGAAGGCTGTGGATAGCACACTGTTTCAGTTGTTGCTGAGCAGTGCTTGGACTAAGTTGAGGACTTTTCAGCTCCACTCCCCACCCCACCAACAGGGCTGGGAAGCACAAGAAGCTGGGAGAAGACACAGCAGGGACAGCTGATCCCAACTGGCCAAAGGGATATTCTGTATCATATGACACATGGTCAGTATGTAAATTAGGGGGAAGCTGGCCAGGGGCCACTGCTTGGGAACTGGCTGGACACTGGTCAGGGGATGGTGGGAAATTGCATTGGGCATCACTTCTTTTGTATGTTCCTTTTGACTTTTACTATTACTATTACTTTGCATCCTTTTCTGTTCTATTAAACTGTCTTTATCTAAACCCATGGATTGTACTGTTGTTCCCAATTCCCTCCCCCAGCCCGCTGCAGTCCATGAGCAGCTCTGTGGTGCTCAGCTGCCTGCCGGGTTAAACCACGACAGTGTTTACCTACCTTGGGCTGGGCCTCTCCCGCAGCCTCTGCCAGGCCGCTGGTTCCTGCTGCACTAAATCAGTCCTCCCTGAGTCAATGGCTCCTCTCAGTCACTCACAGGAGGTGCAAATCCAGTGGGGCAAATTAAGCACAGAAATGCACAGGCAGAGCAGCCAAGTAGCCAGGAGGCTTCGGCAGCTAAAATTCAAGTGGGTTCAGAAGTTTTTCCTTGCTTTGATTTGCTCAGAGTTTATGCTGAATTCTTTTGAGTATGGCATTTCCTATTTGTTTTCTTCCTCTTCCCTACTGCCCTCCCTTCAGCTAAGCTCATGCCTGTCAGTTTTTGTACAGTCTGTGCCTTGCTTGTGGTTTCTAACATGTGGGGGGTTTGCTTTGCAGTATTTGTGCAGTGAGTGCACTGTGCTTTGTAAGTGTGCTGCATTTTCCTCTGGCTGCTGTCAAGGTGTCTTGGGGGTTCCCATTGTGTGGAAGTGCAAGGGGGACTTGTGAGCCTCCTCATCCAACAGGGAAACAGAGAAGGAAAATCTGATGTCATATGCAGTTGTGCTTATTTCTGCTTTGGTGTGTGAATTGCATGACTGTACTTACATGGATACACGGATACCTGCAACTTACATGGATAAGGGACACGGCAATGTTACAGAGGCTGGAAGCATCCCTGCTGACAGTCAGGGCTGGCATGTTCCAGTTGAGCCCCTGTGGGCTGTGTGTCTGTGCTGCATGGCTTCCTCACACTGAGCTGGATGCAGAAACGTGCAGCAGTTACAGCCAGCTCCTGCTTAGTTCCTCCCCAGTCAGACTCAAAATGCCTTTGTCGTGGTCATTCAAGGATCTGACTTTAACTTTACTTCAGCACCAGTGACTACCATTACCTCAGTGAGATGACTGAATTACTTACACGTGTTCACCTATTGTCATGCAGGTGTACTTCAACACTGGGCTACATGCAGAAGATGCAGCTTGCACCAAGCACTTCCCCATAGCTGAAGTTTGCAATGGTAAGGCTATTGTGGGCTGTGTCTCTCCGTGCCACAAAATAAAAATCATCAGACGGTCCTAGCTACACCTGGCTGCACATGTATTTCTTAGTTATGTCTATTGTTTTCATCCCATACAGTCATGAAGCTTGCAGAAGGTAGCAAAATAGCCTGTAATCTCTTTATAAATTCCAGAAAAGAACTCACAGCTGCATCTCATGACTTACATGAAGGAGGCTGAGGTGTCAGGAGCATACACAGGTTCTTTCCCAGCATCTGCTGAGACAAAGGTCTCAGGCAGAGATCTCACTGCAGAGAATTCATCATCCCAAGTGACCTCAGTGGAAACATCTTAACTTTAAACTTTGGTCTTCAGAGTGCAGGATTTCCCAGTGGAGCGATGCATATGCACTGACATCTGCTAAGACAAAATAACCAAGCTCAGAAGAAAGTTGCTCATGATCACAAGGAGTTACTGGAGCCAGCTGAACCTGAGATTGCAGTCAATTGGGCTGTGCCTGAGAAATCCTTGATCAAAACACACTTCCAGACTGTGATCTGTAATGGTTGTCAGCTGCAGTCTGCCTTAGTCTACAACCTAACTGCACCTTGGAGACAACCAGCTCCTGCTTGTATCTGTGCTGTGGGACTGTCTGCTCAGAACATGCACTCTTTGGTAGCTTCAGGTTTGTTTGTTTTCTTTTTCTACATTTGAAATATATTGCAAACTCTTCTTTTTTCAAAGGTGCTTTCTTTCATTATAAGTAATAATCACAACTACATTTCCTTAAGGTTAGTCTGTGTTAAAGGTATAGGAATCCTTTGCCTTCCTGCTGATGCTTTCCCTCCCTCCCTCCCTGCTGTTTATGACCTGACAGAATAGTTTCTCTCACTGATTTGTGGACATTCAAAGGGGTTGCCTAGTCTCTAATTTTATTAACAAATTTTTGTAGCCGTTTTCTTGAAAAAAAATAAGAGAGTATTGATTAATTTTTTTTTTTTCTTTGCGTGCAAATGGGAGGAGAGGCCTGCTCTGGCAGGATGCTGAACATGCTCTGCCACACAGTGCTTTCTGTCACTTACTGGGCTTTCCAGGCTAGCTGCTGGAAATGTCACAGGATTAATTTCAGAATCCCCTAAGGCGCCTGTTGGCTTTGTCCAAAATCATTACTCATTCTCTGCTTTGTACTCATTTTCTGTTACTAAAACACAGTGAGACCTTAGCTGTGTTTGCTGCATTACTGTTAATTTCTATTCTGCTCCACCTGTACTCCTACCCCTTTTCCCCCAGTATGTTACGTGAGCACCTTGCAGTGGCAGCTGGCAGTGTTCTTCTCTTAGGCATGCTTATTTGATGAGCTAAGTGATGCAAGGAAGCCAGCCCCACCTCCTCCAGGGACACTCCACTGCTGGAAATTAGTTGCTTCTGCCTCTTGCTTCCAGTCTGTGATAGTGCAGTGGAAAAATCAATAGCAGACAAATAATTAGACACGATGTCATCCTTGCAGATAGGGAGGACTTGCAGGCAGACAGCAGATCATATATGTGCCTTAAGAATGCTTGTGGAGATGGAGTTATGATCCAAGAATGTGCAAATGGCTTCCCATCCCAGTGTTGCGTGCTGTGATGGGGAAGTAGTGCTAAACCATCTCTAGACTTGATTAGTGTACAAACACAAAAGGCTTGTTTTGTTATGGGGAGGTGGTTGGGGTGATTTTTCTAGGTGAGCAAAGAAGAAACTACGTGAATGGAATCTTTCTTTACCTTCTCTCTGCTGGGGGCTAAAATAAAACTGGAGGGAGCGATATGGTGAGAGCTGGTGGGCTGCTCTGAGGAAGGGCACACGTGGATTCTATCCAGGAGCTGTATGCAGAGCCTCAGGGAGAAGGACACCTCTGAGCCAGCCAGGAGGCCTGTCTGCTGCCCACTCCTTTCCCAGCAACCAGTGTTCTCAGGAAGTAAAAGGTCAGCAGAGGCTATCAGCAGACTACTTCGGTGCAGAGACTTTTTTATGACTGCATTAACAACACTTTTCCTGTTGTTGTACATAAGTTATGGCTCCTAGTGTCAGTGTTGAGATGAAAGCAGAAGCTCTTCTGTGTGGAACAAGCATTAAAAGCTAGTGGATGTGCTAATTGTAAAAGAAAATTAGTGCTGGCTGCCACCTATTTACTTTCAGATAAATTTGCTTTTGTATTTTAATTATTTTAACACTGTGCATCCATCTCTACTCTTTTGGACACAGTCAACCACAAGTTTGCCACTGTCCTCTCTCACTGCCTAACCTGGACTCTGCTTCTGTAACCCCTCCATGAGCTCAGATCTCAGACTTACAGGAAAATTTAGAATCAGAGCAGAAAAATGGTGGATAGGATGGGTCTTTCAGGTGAGCAGTGTGTGATAACATGATGTTCTCACATGTTAATGTTTGTAACTGGTTGTGAGAGGAGAGCCTCTGGTTTTAAGGATGTACCCTTGGACAGCCTTTAACAGTGCCATGACAAAATAAAAATCATTTATTAAAATTGTGCCTCGCTTGTGCTGCTAAAAACACTTCTAGATTATACACACTGAAAACAGTAAATATTTAATGTACAGGTTTACTTTTCCTGGTTTATAGAAAGCTCAGTGGGCCTGACAGACCAGCTAGACAGATGTGTTTATAACGTGCTCCCCGGGCAGGTACAATGCTGCAGTGTTTGGCCTGTGAGCTCTGCAGGGATATGCTTAAAAAAAATAAAAGTGTTCCATTTACATTGGGGGGAAAAAAATCCTGAGAATGTTTCTATTAATATTAGCTGGTGTAAAATCCCAAACTCTACATTTCAGGCCTTACATGCTTCAAAAATAGAGGACTGGATGGTAGGGATTTGCAGTAAGAGGTGTTTCCTCTCTTATGTAGCCAGGGAAGGGGATAGTCATGGGCAGTTCTTCTGGCAGGAGAAGATGGTTGTTGCTGAAATGCCCCTGATGAGGGTGGAGAGTGCAATGAAGAGTTCAGGAGTGAGCAGGGCAGCAAATCCTGTGCATGGGGAAGCCTGGGTAGGTGGGGATGCAGGCCAGAGTGCAGTGCTTGTGGTTTTCTACAGACAAGGAGCTGGTGCTCAGGACCACGGCTGAGATTCTGGATGTTTATCAGGAGGCACACTTCTAAAAGCTGAGAGGAACCAGATGCTCTGGAGAAAGCAAAATGTGCAGAGCCCTCCCCACCCAATAGGTTGGGCACACCTCACACACACATGAGATGCTGACAGGAATGGTTGGGAACCCACTTCCACATTCAAGAAGATTTTTCTTTTTTTTAATGTTAGTTTTGACATTGGTTGAGGTATTTTCTGAGGACTAGCTTCTCTTCCATTATATTGACATTAAGGCTGATATATCTGGTCAAAATTAATGGCATCAATTAATTAGCATACATTGATTAACTGAAACAAGTGACATTTGGGTTTTGGAAAGTTCCCAAGGAATGGGTGGCTGTATCTGCCTCTCTCTGATTTCCTCAGAAGTTATCCTTGATTGAGAAGTGAGTTTGTTTTGGTAATCTGATTAAATAGTTGGCAGGTTTTGAAGAAAAAAAAAAAAAAACCCTAAACTTTTAAAAGGAGGTCTTGGCTGATTACCTTCTCATCAAATATTTCTGTTGAAGAAAAAGTAGAGTTAGGAAGCAGAAGCCTGTCTTAGGGCTAGCTGAGCATTTATGATTAAATAAAGTAAATTGGAGTAATTTTTTTTTTAATGTATAAGAAAAATTAAGCCATCTCAGATGTGTTGAGAAAGCCAGGAGTCCTGGTGAGATGGTTTTGCTTTCTCCCAGCTTCACCTGCCAAGGACATCTTTCCTGACTGCAGGTGACCTGCCATCCTGGTGACACTTGGGGCTGGGGCTGTCCCATGGTGCTTGTTCAGTGCAGGACAGCACCTCTCCTTCCCAGGGCCTTCCAGCACAGGGGTGAGGGGCTGCCTTTACCTTCGAGCCCTGGCTGCAGCTCCCTTGCCTGCCAGCTCCTTTTGGGACAAGGCTGCACAGACCACCTCATTGCCCAGGAAGCACCAGGAAAGGAGGGTGCCAGGGGAAAGGGGATCCTGGGCCGAGGACTGGCACTGCCACAGCAGCACTCGGGGCCATTGCACATCCAGGAGAAGGGGCAGAGCAGCACCATCTTTCCTCTGCAAGCTGAACCACAGCCCATTTTTCATTTATGGCCCACTCACAGCCCTTTGCTGTGCATCAGTTGTGAGAACTGGCTTGAGCAAACCCAGCCTTGCTGGACCCAAAGTGAGACTTGCTGATTCCAGCAGTCCTGCTGGCCTCAGGCTGCTCCCTGGAGCCACATTCCCTGCATTTATGACCCCCACATCCCTTGATGCTGGAGTGGCACACAGGGCTGCAGTAAAGCAAAGGCTCCTGCCCGGGCCCCCCAGGGGTAGCAAACAGCACATTAACCCTCTGTGAGACCTGGCAAGGACTGGTGACTCTTGCCCAAGTATCACACATTTAGGAGGCTGCACAGTTGATGCACAGTCAGCTCCTGAAGGGCAGCTGGCACTGTGACAGTAGCCTTAGAAAATGAGCTAATTGTCAGCTCCAGTCTGGATGTCACCACCATTTTAATGCGAATGGACTTTTTCCTCAGCCAGCCTCCTGACTGAATGGGGAGCACAGAAACATCCCAATATTTATGGGATTTTAACTAGATTAGTTACAAACCTATAAAGCAAAGAAAGAGACAGTTCATCCAGTATTGGGGAGGGGAGTGTTAAAAATGCCACCTCAGATAAAATATTATGGGAGTTGAGTAACTGTAAATAAGAACTTCGTCTATGAAATAGCTTCTTATGTGAGTTTGGGATGAGGGCCAAGAGAATGTCTAGGGCTCAGGGAAATTTATTAGCCCAGATCAACGGGATTTCTGGAACTCAGGAGATGGGATGGCAGAGAATTTGCCTGTTGGAGTCTGCACTTACTCCATTCATGCCTGAAGCAGAGCTTTCACTTATAAAACTTTAAAGATGGTTCGTTTGCATGTTTTACATTTTCTTGGTTCTCATTAGCAGCTACAGTTCTGACCTGGAACTTAAGAGAGCTGGGTTCAAGCTCTGGGTTTCCAGAGTCTGCCAGCGTGGCCTTGGACAAGTCATTCATTTCCTGTGCTTCAATGTCTCTCTGTAGACAGGAGATAAATGTTATTGCCGGACTCCTGGGGATCAGGAGGGTTTGCTAAGGTCGAGGTACCTGAAGCAGAAGTAAGAATATGATGAGTGCTTGTGAATGCTAGGAGCATATGCAGAACAGCTATAATGCACAGGTTGACCTCTCTCAAGAGGAGGAATGGTATTTTTGTGGGGAGCAATGGGTCTTCCCTTTGATTCCAATCATTTTAGTCAATGTCATGATTTTCAATAGTGAGGCACCTTTGTTTTGTATCCTCTGCTGGAGCAAGCTGGCTGTCCTGATAGAGTTAATGGTATCCTGATAATATCAGGTTCATCTTGCTATGGATTTATTTTTGAAAAGGGCACATGTACTTCAATAGCACACAATTTAGGAACCCACCACCTTTTATCTCCCCATTTTTCATCTCTCTGTTTCCTGTTTACATCCTTCTGCTATTTTTTGCCTGTATCCAGTTTTCTGTCTGGATTCTTCTAGATGCGTCTTCCCTTTTGTCTCCTCTGGTATTTCTGTTTCTACCTCCACCCTCACTTCCATATTTTGTCTGTGTTTTATTTTCCTTATGTTCTTCTTGGAGGCTATCCTTAGCCTCTCCTATATAGTTCCCTTTTACTCTCTCTAGAGCCAAAAGCTTTTCAGTAAACAGCATCCCTCTCCTCTCCCTTCTGACTCACTGCCCACTGACAGTGGAAAAATTTCATCATGAAAGTGATGTAAAAATCTCCCAGTTTAGAGTGCAGGGCAGGTTAGGATGACCTTGCTCCGCCTGTCACGTGAAGAGCCACAGAGTCTAATTCCTCAGCCAATGCCTATTTGCCAGGATATCTCTCATTCCGTGCTCCTTTGCACACTGGGTGTTGTGGGGATGCTGCCCCGTGCCCTGGATCCTCCTGCTCCTGTACGGTGCCTGTTGGTAATGTACTTAGCCAAAGTGTGGGAAAACTCTCAGACTTGAACTTTGCTTTGTGTTTCCACGCCATGTGAAACTCATTGAATATTTGCCGTCCCTTCGCATGGCTGCTGCTCTTGGATTTCACCAACATATGTGAAATCTATTTGGTCCCCTTTTTAATATGCTGCTTACACTATAAATACAAAACCAGGCAGTGCTTCTGAAGAGAAATAAATGTAATTGTGGTAGTGGTTGTTGTTATAAATAGTGCAAAGGATTTAGAAACTATTTAGCCTTTTTGGGCAGGATCCACAAATGTTCTGTATATTATAGCCTTAAAGCTCTTGTATTTAGCTATCAAAACCTTCCCAGTTGTGATTGGTCCAGTTTGCTCATTACTGTTTGGCTCCAGTGCAGGGTTAGGATGCTCTGCTCTTCACAGGAGCAGGGCCTGGCCTCCAAACCTGTGGTGTGCTAGATCACATCTGACCTGTACATGCACACAGTACCTTAATCATGCATTTGCATGTGTAACCAGTCTATTTGCATAAAGAGCCATGGTATTTCCACACAGGAATTTTTGAGGTTTGTTCCCAAAATTAGTGCTGCATTTTTTCTCTCCTGGAGTGAAATGCAAATATTTATTTATTGACAGAGCTGGAGCTGATTGTTTTCCCTGTCCAAGTCTGAGATGTCTGTTCTGTCAGATGAAAACAAGTAGTATTCTGATTTATTTTTAAAGTGCATTTGTTCATAACTGCATTTAAAACAATTAGTGCCTGCGCTCTGCCAGTCCCAGCAGAGTGCTATATATATATATTTGTGTGTGTATGTATATCAAAAGGGGCTGAACGCCCAGAAATTCTCTTGGCAGCCCTGCTGTCTGGTTAGAAAAGGAAGTGAGCCACAAAATTTGAACATTCAGTTCTGAGACTTGAAAGCTTTCTGGATTTTATTACTGACTCAACAGGGTTTTCATTATGTATGTGGCCAAGAGGAGAGGTTTACGCAAGAGGAACATATTGTAGTTGAATATGTTTGTAATTTTACACATTGTTAAATAATTGAGATAACTAGATGTCTCCTAAATGGACAAAATGAATTAGGTGTTAGTGGCAGTGTCACTGTGGCACAGGCAGTCAATATGAAAGAGTGGCTGGCCCCATCCGAAAGCTGATTTCCAGTGCAGAGGGGACCTGATTCAGTTGCTGAGGGACATTTTGCTGTTGATGTGAAGGAGACCCATCTTTCCCTCAGCTTCTCTTGAATCTCTTGTTGACTCTCAGTCTAACCTCTTCTACTCCAGATGATGGCATCTGCAGTTTGCTGCTTTTTTTTTAACTTTACTTTTTAGAAAGCCAGTGCTGTTCAAACAGCAGTTTGAGGCTATGTTTCTTCTGTTCTCATTTTCATGTTAGTTTTAGGAAGAAAAATATTGTGGGAAGCGAATTATCACAC